GGACTCTGGTGGAGGAGAGTGCACTGCTAGGCATCAGCCGGTTGCTTATGCTGTGGCTAGGGATCCTTTGGGAGCTAACGGATTAGGTAATAATAATCATATTGTTAGTTTTATAAACTAACTAGATGACCCAACAGACATTGTCCTTTACCCATGCCTACAATTTTTTAATACTAGCTGTAAGTGGAATTCTGTCTTAAGGCAATTAGGGCATCGTGCCTTAAGGCAAATTGCTGGAACTTCCCGTACTAAAAATTATTATTTTTTTAAAAACGATTAACATTTTTGAAAAAAATTTACTTCGAAAAAATTAGATTTTTGAGAAACTATAAATTGGACAAAAAATTACTTTTTTTGAAAAAAAATTTTTTTGAAAAAAATAATTTTTTTTTTAATTTTTTTTTTTTTTTTGAAAAAAAATTTTTTTCTTTATTTTGACATATTGTGGAAGATCTGAACTTTCTTTTCAAAGCAATCGTACTGCTTGAACTGCATAGAGACGAAATGTCAAAGCGCGCAAGTGCCGCGCCGCCGTCTAACGCATAAGCATTGGTACGGAACCCATAGGAATGTAAAAAAAATTATACTTATTGTTAAAATCTCTATAAATTATCTGATAATTTGATGTGCACATGTCTAATGATAATTTTTAACCGCCGAATGGCATTTTTTTTACTTTTTTTATTAGATCTCCGAAACCGCTAGACCTGTCTTCATGAAAATTTGATCAATTCTTCATCTTGTCAATACAAGTGAAATGTTTTTTTGAATTATTCAAATCGGACGCTCCGTTCTCTTAAAAACTGAGTTACCGCTTTCGGCACTTTTTTGCCCCGTATCTTCGGAACGGCTAGACCTGCCTGCCTTCGCCAAAAACTAATCACACGTTCTCCTTATCAATACGAATCGAATGTTTTTTTGAATTATTCAAATCGGTTGATCCGTGTTCCCGAAATCGTCGACGAAAATTTGTATCCGCACATACATACACACACGCACACACACACAACACACACACATACATCCATTTTTTCTAAGGTATGCCAAAATATTCAGAAACCTTTGAAACGTCGAGAAATGCAAAAATTTTCATTTTCGATTTTTTTGCGATTACTATAACTTGCCCTACGGGAAGTTAATAATATTGTTAGTTTTATAAACTAACTAGATGACCCAACAGACATTGTCCTTTACCCATGCCTACAATTTTTTAATATAATATACTAATATTTAGTGTTTACCTAAAAATAATAATTATTGTTTTTTAAATTACTCTTCACACCAAAATGCATACGCATTTATAATATGAGCAATGTTAAATGTAGAGCTGCTTTAAATAAAATGATGAGTCTCAATTCCCACATTATATTGGAAATTGAAGTCTTTTAAACGGCATAACTAGACTTTATACAAAAACCGACATTTTAGAAAACTGGTTTTCGAATTTTAATTTAGCCAGAAAACCGGTTTTCGAATTTTATATAGAAAATGAATTTTTGCTCGAATATTCCGTAATAACAAAAAATACATCCGCAAATATAGTACGATTTTAGCAGTATTTGACTGAATTTATTTGCTGTTCAATTTTAAGGATAGTGAACAAAATTATTTTAAGTTTAATTAGTAGAGCAAAAAAACATAGTTTATCTGGATTTAATGACTTTGAAAATAATTATTCGTTAATTATGCATCATTTTCTAATATGAGCATAAAAATATTTTTATAATAGTGAAAGGAATGTTTTCGAATAAATAAAAATAACTCATTTAAATAAAAAAACATGTATCAAATTAAAAAAAGTTAAAAAATATTAGATACATGTTTATATATATATATATATTTGTTAATATCAATTTTAGTTTTAAAAACAATTAAGCTAAACCTCGAGTATTTTCAATTCCGAGCAAATTGAATTAACTAATTTTAAAAATTCCAATTATTTTTTGTTTAATAAAATATGATTTTAAAAATCTGCGAACTATCGATTTGTTACTTGAACGTGTTCTTTGTTTACTCACAAAATTTCCCGAAATAGAAAATACTCTCTTACTTGCGACCGGCTAGGCTTAATTGTTTTCATATAATAATGTTTTTGTTCTTTTATTTGTGGCTTCTAGGGCTAAAAACTCTTTTTTTTTGTAGTTTGATTTTAGAAAGTTACTTCTTGAAGAAGAAGTGATATTGATTTAAATTAGTATATACATTAAATTAATATATACATTAGACAAAAGATTACAGAACACCAGATTTCCTTTTCTGGGAACTGCAGCATACTGATAAGAATCCAAAACGCTTTTGAACCGATATGATTCCAAGAATCAAAACGCTTGCTTTCATCTAGTATATCTGGCTATATTTGTCGTTTTCCATTTATGCAGTGAAAACCGACATTTTCTAGTTAAAAACCGGTTTTCGAATTCCATAATTTTCGCCAAAAACGGCTTTTAAAACAACCCTAGGTATAACATAACACTGGTACTTTATGTTGGATTAAATTAATTTAATTTTTAATTATTTAAGATACCCAAAATTGCATCTAAAACTTCTTCTAATCGATATCGTGAAGGGCCGAATTGCACCTATTCATCTTTACTTTGACATTTGTTGTTATAAAGTAAAGCTTTTATGAATTTTAAAAATATTGTGGAAAGATTAATAAAGGACGCAAAGAAATTATATATATATATATATATATATATATATATATATATACAGGGCCGGTCCTGGGGTCCTTAGCGCCTGCATGCAACTTTTTTTCTGGCGCCCCCCCCCCAATTAATTTTCACCGTTTTAACAGTTTATCATTAAAATTATATAAATATTTACATATTTTTTAAAAATTAATTTTTAATTATTCTGGATTTAGTACTCAAAAAATAGATATAATCTAGAAGGGTATAAAATATATTGATTTTAAATTTATTTATTATTATCGATATCAATAAATGTCATAATTTCACATTTTAGTAATATTCAATATGTAGTAAATTGGTTAAGGATGTAAGTTCGACTACCATAGCAAAAGAGTTAATATTTTTGGTAGATTAAAGTTATAGAATTTAAGAAATGCATTTCAGAATGCATTTTGATATAAAGATCTTGATATCAAAATAATAAATACTATTTCTGAAATGTATTTCTTAAATTCTATAACTTTAATTTAACAAAAATATTAAGTGAAATAAATAAATTAATTTTTAATTATTCTGGATTTAGTGCACAAAAAATTAGATATAATCAAAAAGCGTATAAAATATATTGATTTTTTAGAAAATCGAAGCGATTCGGTATAATCAAGTATTTTGACATTTTCAATTATTTTTAACGTATGTGCAATATTAATATTTAAAAAAACTATCATTTAATTTTCAAACATAACACTCGTATTTCATGTTGGATTTTTTAAATTTTAATTTAATTTAATTTTTCATCATTTACAATATCCAAAATTGCGTCGTAAACTTCTCCTTATTGATATCGTAAGAGCCGTCATATTTAGAGTATCAGCTTTTTGTTTTAAAGTTAAATTTTTAACGTATTTTGGAAGTATTGTTCAAAAATCAGTAAAAAATGCAAAGAAATTACACATTTCTTGAACAATATTGAAAAAAAAAACTTATTTTATTTGATATGTATTATTTCTGTATAGTTAATAATTATTAAATTTAGAGTATGGACACCACTAGGTATAAAACAAGTCTTAAGATTTTCGTTCCAAAGTAAATTTTACTTTCATTTTTCATATTTGTTCCACGCATGTCTTCAACATTCAAAGTTCAACAGATGCGAAACATTTGCAACAAAAGCAAAAGTTACAATTCAATTTCTCGGAATAAACAAGTCATTTTCTAAGCACTGACTTACCATTTTTTATAATTTGTTTATATGTTTTAACAAGCACCGATTCAACTAAATCAGCTCGCAATTTTTCGTCAATAATGCTCAACAATTAATTTAATCTTTCGCAGGTTTGCGCTTACGGGATGAATACTAGATAATTTCTTTTTCGATTCCACGGTAACTTCAAACAAAGAAAAAATTAAATGAGTAGATTAAGCAATAAACAGAGCTGTTATTTACTAATTTGCACAGTTATTAATCAGTTAATTGTTTCTACTGATATCACATTGCAAAATAAATATGCTTTTTGTATCTCCGCATCCCTAGTTAAGTTAAAATATTTATTATAATTTATTAAATATTCTATATTTTAAATAAATAATTCTATATATATATATATATATATATATATATATATATGAAGAAAATTTAATATTCGAATTCTGTGTTGGCGCCACCTAAGGCGTGCGCTTGTATTTTTCGCATACATTGCATTAAAGGTAGGACCGGCCCTGATTAATACTTAATTTCATATAAGTGAATTATTTTTTTCATATGTGTATAATTCAGTCTGCCATACATATATTGTATCTTATATTATTTTTTTTATATCAGCTACTTTTTGGCAATAATAATGTAAACATTTCATTTTTCTTATTCATAATCATAAATTTATTATACATATTCTAATAATGTCTAGGTTCATGAGTAAATTGAAATTTTTGGCAGATGATAGTTTTTATTTATTTTCAATGCAAACAATGACATGCCGTTTTTTACAATTTTTTCCATTTATTTCTACAATATTGCACATACATTCCACTACTTCTTAATAATCACATACATCCTAGAAAATTTTTCTTGACAAACTTCAGAAAGATTTATCAAAATTCGAATAATCGTTTAGAAGGAGTATACAGTGAGTGCTTGTAATTTAATATGAACTTTATATAATAGCAATAAAGCTCAAATTGATTCTATTATTGATTTTCGTTAGAAAACGTTTGTATGTGAAAAAGAAAAGGGCTGTTTTTAGGGTTTTCTCGGCAATTATTCGATTTTTCTCGCCGTAAGAACCATCCTTGGACTTGAACGAACATTTTAAAAATTGAATTGGCCAAATTGGTCCAGTCCATTTTGCGACTTATTTTTAACTTCCCGTAGGGTAAGTTATAGTAATCGCAAAAAAATCGAAAATGAAAATTTTTATATATTTTTACGTTTCAGAGGTTTCTGAACATTTTGGCATACCTTAGAAAAAATGGATGTATGTGTGTGTGTGTGTGTGTGTGTGTGTGTGTGTGCGTGTGTGTATGTATGTGCGGATACAAATTTTCGTCGACGATTTCGGGAACACGGATCAACCGATTTGAATAATTCAAAAAACATTCGATTCGTATTGATAAGGAGACGTGCTGATTAGTTTTTGGCGAAGGCAGGTCTAGCCGTTTCGGAGATACGGGACAAAAAGTGACGAAACGGTAACTCAGTTTTTAAGAGAACGGAGCGTCCGATTTTAATAATTCAAAAAACATTTTACTTGTATTGACAAGATAAAGAATTGATCAAATTTTCATAAAGGCAGGTCTAGCGGTTTCGGAGATCTAACGAAAAAAGTAAAAAAAAATGCCATTTGGCGGTCAAAAATGATCATTAGACATATGCACATCAAATTTTCAGATATTTTATAGAGATTTTAACAATAAGTATAAATTTTGTTTATTTTCCGATGGGTTCCGTATCAATGTTTACACGTTAGACAGCGACGCCGCTCTTACGCGCTTTATATTTTGTCTCTATGCAGTTAAAGCAGTGCGATTGCTTTGAAAAACAAGTTCATATCTTCCAAAATATGTCAAAATAAAGAAAACATTTAAAAAAAAAAAAAAAATATTAAAAAAATTTCTGTCCAATTTATAGTATATATTATTTTTATAGTATATATTATTTTTTTAAGTAAAATTTGTTCAAAAATGTTAATCGTTTTTAAAAAAATAATAATTTTTGGTACGGGAAGTTTCCGCAATTTGCCTTAAGGCACGATGCCCTAATTGCCTTAAGACAGAATTCCACTTACAGCTAGTTTTTCAAAAATTTTGTCAAATGTGTTCAATAAAGAAATTGGCCTGTAATTATTAATACTGTCAGTGGGCTCTCTTTTATGAAGTGGATAGATACCGTTACTAACTGCGTTGTTTAAGCTAGCAAGGAGATTATCAATGAATAGTGGATATAATTGTTTTAAAATAATAATAGCACTAATAATAATATTATCAATGCTATAAATTTCACATATGCCCTTTACCTCAGGTATCTACGCGTCAGAAAAACCATCAGCAATAACCATCCCTTCGACATCGCCATCGACTGCTGCAACTCTAAGTCCTGGTGGAGCAGTTCCATCGACTACACCAACTGGTTCAGCATCACCTGCAGCAGCAAAGCCGTCTCTGACACGACTTCTGCTCCATTTAGATTCTGATGCTGCTAAGCAGCAGGCTTTAGAACACACTCTGAGGGCCACCGAAGTACATCAGGCTAGGGTCATGCTGGTTGCGGCTTTGGCAGGACATTCTGGACTCACGGGGAAGAATTCACAGGGTTGTATGAGTGGAGGAAGTGGAAAAAAGATTGTCAGCAAGGTAAGAAATACTTTATTTTTACGTTTTATATAACTAGATGACCCGACAGACGTTGTCCTGTACCCATGTCTACAATTTTTTAATATTCCATACTAATATTTACAGTTTACCTAAAAATAATAATTACTGTTTTTTTAAATTTTTCGTTTTATATAAGGTTGTCAAATATCTCCCTTCCGCCTTTTTGTATTATAAACCAAGAGCAAAAAAGCGGAAGGGAGATATTTGACAACCTAATATGTTTTATAACTAGATGACCCGACAGACGTTGTCCTGTACTCATGTCTACAATTTTTTAATGTTCCATACTAATATTTACAGTTTACCTAAAAATAATAATTATTGTTTTTTAAATTACTCTTCACGTCAAAATGCATTTACATTTATAACATAAGCGATGTTAAATGTAGAACTGCTTTAAATATAATGATAAGTCTTAATTCTCACACTATATTCGAAATTGAAGTCTTTTAAACGTTATAACATAACCATAACCATAACATAACACTGGTACTTCATGATGGATTAAATTAATTGAATTTTTTATTATTTAAAATATCCAAAATTGCATCTTAAACTTCTCCTGATCGATATCGTGAGAGCCGAATTGTATGTATTCATCTTTACTTTCCCATTTGTTGTTATAAAGTGAAATTTTTACGAATTTTAAAGATATTGTGGAAAGATTAGTAAAATATGCAAAGAAATTATATATTGAAAACTAACTATTGAGAATTTAATATCCGAATCTTATATTGGCGCCCCCTAAGGCGTGCGCTCGTATTTTTCGCATGCATCGCATTAAAGGTAGGACCGGCTCTGATTAATACTTAAGAGGCACACTTAGTGTGAAGTTTTCAAAAAATCGAATTTTCGATTTTTCCATATTTTGATAGGTTATACCTTTAAAAATAACATACCAAAATTTTAAATCGATATCTTAAATAGTTTTTGAGTCATAGCCATTTAAAGAGTATATATAGTATAACGATCATTTAATCTTTAAACGCGTTTTTCTCAAAACAGCATTTTCCGAATTTGCTGCAGCGATTACTCAAAAACAAACGATCCGATCACTATCAATTTTTTTTAGATGTTTTATATATAGTTCTCCGCAAAATGAACTATCGATTTTTTGATCGGATCAAAAATCGAATTTTGGCAGTCCAAAAACGACCAAAATTTTGGGTAAAAGTCGACTTTTTTTTTTAAAACGCCGCCATTTTGTCAATTTTTGATTTTTTTTTCTTTATCGTAGTTCATTTTACAGACAATATTATCTAGTTTAATTAGATTTTTTTTAAATTTCATCCACGTAGAAGGCCGGAATCACTGCAGCAGTGAAGGACCTTTTTTCGCGCCGTTGGAGATCGACGATAACTTAAAAAATATTTAATTTTTTTCTTCAAAACTTTTACTATGTATTCTTAAAACATGTGTTTATATATTCTCAAAATTTTGAAATGATTGATAAATTTTGAAATGTTTTTTAATATAAATTCCCAAAAATCACCTTTTTTAGGCGGTTGCACTAGTTGTGCCCCTTAATTTCATATTTTAAGTGAATTAATTTGTCATATCCTGTTCATACGTGTATCATTCAATCTGCCATACATAAACTGTATTTTTTATTATTTATATTTTTTTTTATCTCAGCTGCTTTTTGGTAATAATAATGTAGTGTAGATATTTAATTTTTCTCATTCATAATCATAAATTTATTATGCATATTCTAATATTGTCTAGGTTCATAAATAAATTGAAATGTTTGGCAGATGATAGTTTTCATTTGTTTTTAATGCAAACAATGACATGTCGTTTTTGCAATTTGTTCCATTTATTTCTACAATATTGCACATACATTCCAATACTTCATAATCAAATGTTGTAAAAGTGATCACCTTAATAAGTATTGAAACACTTTATGATAGTAAGATTAATGTTAAATAATAAAATATGCATTCAAAATACAAAACTAAAGATGTTGCTTTAGGCACAGATAAACATAAGCAATATAAAAAATTAAATAAAAGCAAAATAAAAGAAAGTTTTATGGCCATGCTTACCTCAGTAATTAAAACCCGTATTAAGAACATTAAAACAAACTACAATTTATATTACTTAAGTCATATTGCATCATATCACCTACAAATCTTATGTATATTTACTTTATACTTTTATAATATTATATGTATACCAATAATGGCAAGTACTTTGCAATTAAGTATCAAAAGAACACTTGAGAATGTAAACCGAAATACACGATTCTTAAATATGATTTAGAATTAATATGATTTAAAATTAGTAATATAAAAAAACAGGTTATCACATACATTCTAGAAAATTTCCTTAACAAACTTCAGAAAGATTTATCAAAATCCGAATAATCGTTTAGAAGGAGAATACAGCTCAAATTGGTTCTACGTTTTAGTTAGAAAAAGTTTGTATGCGAAAAAGAAAAGGGCTGTTTTTGGAGTTTTCCCGGTAATTATTCGATTTTTTCTCACCGTAAGAACCATCCTTGGACATCAACGAATATTTTAAAAAAATAATTGGCCAAATCGGTCCAGGCGTTGTTGAGTTATGCGCTTACCAACACATTTTGCGATTTATATTTATATATAAGATATAGTATTTAATAATAATTTACAATAATGTTTTATAATTTTTAGGCATACGGTTATGATGGTGTGTACCATGATGTTGGAATGGACAGCAAGAGTTTGAAATCACCTATCGAGACCATGGATGATAATCGGGTAAATTCTTATTGGACTTTTATTAGATTCGAATTATGTTTCTGGCAAGTGTTATCACACTCACAATATCTCACAATAAAAATCTAATGAGTTTCTGGGAAGGACCTAATGAGAATATTACATGAATCTATTAAGATTCTTGATGGTATTCTTCTCAGATTCGTACTAAGATTCTTCTCAGATACCCTTTTGGATGTGTGTTAGAATGTTATTGAATTCGAATAAGATTCTTGCTAGATTCAAGAAAAAGCTAATGAGAATCTTATGAGAATCCACTTTTTAAAAGTTTCAATAAGATTATTTTCTTCTGAGATTCTAATTAAGATTCTTCTCAGTTTCTCATAAGATTTTCGATTTTTGTTACATTTTTATTATTTTCTTGGCAAGTGTGATGTGATCTCACGATAAAATCCTAATGAGTTTCTGGGAAGGACCTAATAATAGGCTGTCAAATATCTCCTTTCCACCTTTTTGTATTAAAAACCAAGAGCAAAAAAGCGGAAGGGAGATATTTGACAACCTAATATTATAAGAACCTATTAAGATTCTATTAAGATTTATATAAGATTTTTCTCAGGTTCTTATTAAGATTCTTTTTATCATCTCAGATTTTTATTAAGATTATTCTCAGACCTCATAATATTCTTTTTAGATTCTTATTATGTTTCTGCCATCAAGATTTTCCTCAGATTGTCGTAAGATTCTTGTTAGAATTTAATTGGATTTGTATATATTCTTAAAAAGATTTTTTAATTTGACAAAAAATCACGAAATATTACGTGAAGGGGGGGGGGATAGTAAGATATCACGTGTATTTATTTTTAAATTTTTTCTCGTGATTTTTGGCGAGGAAAAGGGGTAATTTTGAATATTCAAGGGGGGGGGGGTACAGAAATTCTACGAAAAAAACGATCACGAGATTAATGGGAGCCCCCTGAAGTTTTATATAAATTAACATTTAATTATGATGGAACGGTCCATTAAATTCTTATCAGGTTCCTTTAGTTTTTTACAAGATTTTTGTTAGAATCTCATTAGATTCTTGTTTTTATAATGTTTCTGAAAAGTGTGACCTCACGGTCTAATAAAAATATTATAATTATTATTATAAATATTATAATTATAAGAATCTATTAAGATTCTTGAAAGGTTCTTCTCAGATAGGCATGAAGATTTTTTTCAGGGGATCATAAGATTCTTGGTAAATTCGTATCAAGATTTTTGATAAATCCTCAAAAAGTCTTGTTAAAATTTTATTAGATTCTAGACATGGCGAGATTGGAATCTTGTTAGATTCTAATTACATTTCTAAGTGTGATATAATAGAATTTTGGGAAGAACTAATGAGAATATTATAAGGACATAATAAGACTCTTGACAGATTCATATAAGATTCTTCTCAGATCTTCTCAAAATTCCTATTATATTCTTATGTTTATGGCTTGAGAATTCTTCTCAGATCCCCATAAGATTCGTGTTAGAATGTTATTGTATTCATATAACATTCTTGTTGATTTAACATTCTCATAAGATTTTCGTTGCTCAAGAATATAATATTCTAAGAAGAACCTAATATTAAGAATATTATAAAATCATGTTAAGATTCTTTTAAGAAGATTATAATATTCTTGTTAAAGTTTTGATTCTTCTAGATCCTCATAATTTTTTTTGTTAAATTCTCATTAGATTCTTGTTAGATTCTTATTATGAATTCTAATAAGATTTTGGGAAGAACCAAATGAGACTGTAAAGAGATTAAGATTCTTGAAATATTTATATAAGATTTTTCTCGGATTCTTTTTATCATTTACCTCAGATTCTTATTAGGATTCTTATCAGACCTCATAAAAATTATATTATATTCCTATTATTTATATGGCATGAATATTTTTTTCAGATCCAGATAAAATTTTGGTTAGAATATTATTACATTTTTTATAATTTCGAACCCCTAATGATGATATTATGAGTTCTTATTAAGATTTTTAATCGGTTCTAATAAGATTATTCTCTATTCCTTGTAAGATTCATATTAAGATTTTTCTTTGATCTTCATAAGTTTCTTATTAGATTTCTATTGCGATGTGACATTTTTTTATGTATTGAGTAATAAATAATAACTTGTTTGCAAACTAGTGGGGCGCATGGCATCGTGCCTTAAGGAAAATTGCTGGAACTTCCCGTACCAAAATTTTTATAATTAATTTAAAAAAATTATTTCTTTTTTAAAAGATTAACATTTAAAAAAAAAAATTACTCTGAAGAAATTAGATTTTTGAGAAACTATACATTTAAAAAAAAAATAGATTTTTGAGAAACTAAAAAATTTACATTTTCTTGTGAAAAAGACTTTTTGAAGAAAAATGTATTTTGAAATATTTTGGAAATTCTGAACTTTTTTTCAAAGCAATCGTACTGCTTTATCTGCATAGAGACGAAATATCGAAGCGCGTAAACTATTTTTACTAGATCTCCGAAACCGCTAGACCTGCCTTCATGAAAATTTGATCAATTCTTCATCTTGTTAATACAGGTAGAATGTTTTCCGAATTATTCAAATCGGACGCTCCGTTCTCTTAAAAACTGAGTTACAGTTTTTGGCACTTTTTGCCCCATATCTTCGGAACGGCTAGACCTGTCTTCGCCAAAAACTAATCAGCACGTCTCCTTGTCAATACGAATCGAATGTTTTTTGAATTTTTCAAATCGCTTCATCCGTGTTCCCGAAATCGTCGAAAATTTGTGTCCGCACACACACACACATACATCCTATATCCCAAGGTATGCCAAAATATTCAGAAACCTCTGAAACGTAAAGATATATAAAAAATTTTCATTTTCCATTTTTTTGCGATTACTATAACTTGCCCTATGGGAAGTTAATAATTTACGAGTTTGCAAAGAGATTTATACATTTGATCTCAAGAAAATCTAATAAGAATCTACTGCAAATCCAATGCATGTGAATCTCAAAAATTGAAAAAAAATCCAGGCAGAATGTAATATGATTCTGGTAAAAATCTAAAGAGATTTCGGTCTGAGTCTAACAAAATTCTAATAAGAATGTGCTAAGACTCTTTGCATCTAATAATATTCTAATAACATTTTAATAAAAATCTAATAAAATTCTAGTAAATACTAAATTGTCTACATCTTTTTTTTCAGAGTGGTGCTTGTACCCCAGACGACCTTCATCAATCCACAACGAGCAATCAAGCAACATGCGCCTGCAGCAGTTACCACAAAACGATGATGAAGACCGAGACGAAGAAGATGCTGAAGACATTGCTGATAACAACGAAGATGTCCTATCTTCATCCTACCATCATCAGCATCCTCAACACGGTGCTCTTTTGCAGCAGCAACATTTGCACGATAGAATGACATCGTCTGGAGCCCTGTCAGCATCCATGATGACTTCGGGTAGTTCCATGACTTTGTCTCGGTCACTTTCCTTGACTTCCTCGGCTGGTCCTAGAGAGATGATGGGGTCTCTTGCAGGAGCAGGAGGAGTTATGCTGAATTCTGCTGCCAGTTTGAGAGCCTCTGCGAGGGCTAATAGTGCTGCTATGTCCGTGCTGGTTAATACCATGACTACAAACGAAGAGGTAAGATAAATATAAACACCACTCATAAATTTATACGACAATCACATATTTCTATTATCTAGATTGTTGGCGAAGCACCAGACATGAGAACAACGTCTGATAGCATTAGCTCAGCAGCACCAGGACAAGATTCGAATTCTACGTCAGCACACCAAGGTGGTGATGGTGCCGAAGGCACCAGACGTAACTCTGCAACTATGGATCGTTGTTTGGATGAACTTACCAGTACACTAACAGAAGCCGATGCAAGACTTTTGGTTGATTTGCTAAAATTGGCAGCTTTGGACAGGGTGCAGGCTGACGGGGCTAAGGAAACTATTGCTAATGTGTTAATAGGTAATAATTATAATGAACTAATCCAACCAAGGAATTACTTGCTAATTTATTAACTTCCCGAAGGAGAAGTTTATATTTTCATCAAAAAATTCGATTCGCTAATTTTATGTTTTTTCTGGACGTTTCAATGTCATTCCGAATCGAATGAGACCAAATTTGGAAAAACGGCTGGACCGATTTCAGAAATTTAAAAGCCATTCGATGTATCTCGATGAGTACTATTGTTTGCCAGTTTTGTGCGACGATCGGCCAAGCCGTTTCTTTATAAATCGCAGAAACGTGAAAAATTGTTCGTCTAACGTTTTAGCCCGCAATTCTGAATCGATTTTGAAAATTCAAAAACCGTTTGAAAGATATTGGTTGGGCATCGTGCTTTATAGTTTTTGGTAGAGATCCGCCGGGCCGTTTTCTTGTAATAAGGTGTTAAAAAAAAAATTCGTCGAATTTTATTATTTTTTTGACGTTAGATACCATAGTCTTCTAGATCATACTAAAATATTACGGCCCTACGGCAACTCGTTTAGGGTGAAAATTCGTCAAAGTTTGCAAAAATTGGTATTGTTTTCTGGCATTTCTCAAAACTAGACCTTTCATCGACGTTTTCTCAAAAACGCCTGAACCGATTTCAGAAATTTAAAAGCCATTTGATGTATCTCGATGAGGACTATCATTTGTCAGTTTTGTGCGACGATCTGCCAAACCGTTTCTTTGTCATTTGTAAAAAAGTGTTAAACTTTTCGTCCACATTTTAGCTCATCCTACCGAATCGATTTTAAAAAATCAAAAACTGTTCGAAAGATATTAGTTGGGAATGATACTGATTAGTTTTAGGTGAAAATCTACCGAGCCGTTTTCTTGTAATTAACTGTTGCAAAAAAAAATTAAGCCGATTTTTATGGATCTTTTTTTGGTGATATATATATCATGGTCTTAAAGAACTTACTGAAATATTACGGCCTTACGACAGGTAGTTTAATTTTAAAAATTTATCATAGTTTGAGAAAATGAGTAGTTTTTATGATGTTTATTAAAATTAAAATTAGACGATTTACTTGTTTTTTTTTTGTTTTTAAAAATTTATTTATTTCATTTATATTAGTTTATACATACATATTTTTATACAATTTATATAATCATGCATAACTATCCTAAGACATAAATACATAATCTTATATTTAATGCTGACTAATGAAAAAGTAAATTTACTTATAAATAAATTTCTAATCATGGTAAAAATAATCACTAAAAACCATATCTACAATAATAATATTAAAATAATACATATTACTTATATGAATGGAAAATAGTCAAAAGACTAATAACATATGCTGTAGGAATAGTTCAGGAGTAATTTGATCTTTGCCATATTTTATACTTGATTATCTTTTTATCGATGATGGTAGCTTGTACTTATTGTACCAATATGTATTGTCATTGGATCCAATATTACATATATTAGGAATTAAGTTAAATAAACAATTAGTATAAAATCTTTCAGAGATAATAGTTATAAAATCTTTCACTAATGGTACATTAGTGGAATCGCGTAAGAATTTTGTGCTAATATAATGCATATTTATTGGATTCCTTGCTTGACCTATAACAAATCTTAATGAAACATTTTGTACTGATTGTAGTTTTTTAATATTGTGTTTTTTTGTCATACACCAAATAGGGGAAGCATATATCATTGCGGATCTAGATTTGCTTGGAATAACGATAGAGTACGTGGTCTTAATGAACATACTCAACAATTAAAGTCCTACAAAAAACTGGCTCAATTATAAAAATTATTGATTTTTGAAAATTTGCTTTTAAAAAAATACTCCGACCCAGTTGACGTGTTCGACTTTCAATAATGTGTAATAAATCCACTTCGAATACTTTTAACTACTCATAAATTAATTTATTTTTTATTGATTAAGTCAATTATTCACACAAATTGGGAAGTTCATGTAACTTGTCTCAAGGCAAAATACCAATACCAACTAGTTTTATGTGATTTTTTCAGCCCTCGGAACATCTAATCCTTCCATTGCTGATATGTTGATCGAAACCTGCATCACTGAACTAGAAGACACTGCTACTAATTACCAAAACTTCCACAGAAGTCCTGCTCCAGTTGTTCAAGAAACAAGTCATCCTTATATTGATGACATAACACTTACAGGTAATAAACTAAAATTTTAATTATTATTTTGATTTCTATTTAAACTATTTCTTTTTCCAAAGGTCATGTGAAGATGCCAGGAGCAGTTGCCATACGATTAGAGTTTGATAGAAGGTGCTCAACTGAGAAACGAAATGATCCATTAACAATACTCGATTGTAGGGGAAGAGTTGTGGCGACACGAAGTGGAAGGGACTGGGCTTATTGGTCCAGGGAGATCAGAGTACCAGGTAATAAAAAGAACTAGCTGTAAGTGGAATTCTGTCTTAAGGCAATTAGGGCATCGTGCCTTAAGGCAAATTGCTGGTACTTCCCGTACCAAAAATTATTATTTTTTTAAAAAACGATTAACATTTTTGAAAAAAATTTACTTCGAAAAAATAAGATTTTTGAGAAACTATAAATTGGACAAAAAATTACTTTTTTTTGAACTTGTTTTTCAAAGCAATCGTACTGCTTTAACTGCATAGAGACAAAATATAAAGCGCGTAAGCGCGGCGTCGCTGTCTAACGGGTAAACATTGATACGGAACCCATAGGAAAATAAACAAAATTTATACTTATTGTTAAAATCTCTATAAAATATCTGAAAATTTGATGTGCATATGTCTAATGATCATTTTTGACCACCGAATGGCATTTTTTTTACTTTTTTCGTTAGATCTCCGAAACCGCTAGACCTGCCTTTATGAAAATTTGATCAATTCTTTATCTTGTCAATACAAGTAAAATGTTTTTTGAATTATTAAAATCGGACGCTCCGTTCTCTTAAAAACTGAGTTACCGTTTTCGACACTTCTTGCCAGGTATGCTTGTATCTCCGGAACGGCTAGACCTGCCTTTGCCAAAAACTAATCAGCACGTCTCCTTATCAATATATAGCCTTATCAATATAATACCTTAGAAAAAATGGATGTATGTGTGTGGTGTGTGTGTGTGTGTGTGTGTATGTGTGTGTGTATGTATGTACGTGTGTGTATGTATGTGCGGATACAAATTTTCGTCGACGATTTCGGGAACACGAATGAAGCGATTTGGATAATTCAAAAAACATTCGAATCGTATTGATAAGGAGACGTGCTGATTAGTTTTTGGCAAAGGCAGGTCTAGCCGTTCCGAAGATACGAGGCAAGAAGTGTCGAAAACGGTAACTCAGTTTTTAATAGAACGGAGCGTCCGATTTGAATAATTCAAAAAACATTTTACTTGTATTGACAAGATGAAGAATTGGTCAAATTTTCATGAGGGCAGATCTAGCGGTTTCGGAGATCTATCGAAAAAAGTAAAAAAAAATGAGCCATTTGGCGGTCAAAAATGATCATTAGACATAGGCACATCAAATTATCAGATATTTTATAGAGATTTTAACAATAAGTATAAATTTTGTTTACATTCCTTGTACGCGGCGCTTACGCGCTTTATATTTTGTCTCTATGCAGTTAATGCAGTACGATTGCTTTGAAAAATAGTTCAGATCTCCCAAAATATGTCAAAATAAAGAAAACATCTTTTTTGAAAAAAAATAATTTTTTTTTTAAAATAATTTTTTTAAAAAATTTTTTTTCCAAAAAAAAGTAATTTTTTGTCCAATTTATAGTTTCTCAAAAATCTTATTTTTTCGAAGTAATTTTTTTTCAAAAATGTTAATCGTTTTTAAAACAATAATAATTTTTGGTACGGGAAGTACCAGCAATTTGCCTTAAGGCACGATGCCTCAATTGCCTTAAGACAGAATTCCACTTACAGCTAGTTCTATCAGTTATTTAGGTAATTTATAAAGTTTCTTGTTTTAAGTGTATAACAAGTTTTTTTAAGTGTAATAAAATTAATAATTTATGTGTACGTTATAATTTATATCATGGATTTTATGGACTTGTACTTAAGGACAAGTACATAATTTTTTAAATATATTTTATTTTAGGTGACGAATTGAGTTGGAAGTTTATCAGTGATAGTTCGGTGAACGGATGGGGCTGGAAGTTTACTGCTTATGCCATCATGCCTGGGATATCACAAGTAAATCGATATTATATATTTAGCTAGATAGTGTCAACTGTTAGTAAGTATTAACGTTGGTTTATTCATTATTCCAGGAGTTTAGTTCAGACAGATCTGTATTGTCCAGACCTTCCATGGAGTTGGTGATGTGTCTTTTGGAATCTCGCTTAGTCAGGATACCAGCTGGAGCCTTATTTGCCAGGCTGGTGAATGCTTTGACAGCTTGCGTTCAAATACATGCACTACGTGAGTACTTTATACAATTTCTTGTTCAAGAGTACTAGATTTATTAAGGGGGGCGTTACATGTAACAAGAAAAAAAAAATCGATTTTTTTTTTTCATAAATCGTTACAATAACATCTCAAAAATATGCCTGTAAATTTTCAAAACAAAATTATCATTATTTATACAATAAAAACTCATTTAAGTGCCACGCCTCAACTCGACGCTTGAGTGCTATTGTACTCTTATCTGTTTCTGTGTCAAAACTTTAAACGCGTTTTTCTCAAAACGACATTTTTTAAATTTGCGGGCGGGATAACTCAAAAAGTTCTCAACCGATTCCAATGAAATTTTGCACACATCTACTTTACAGTAATAGCTTCTAGTTAAACCTCAAAAATTCCAAAAAAATTTTCAAAAATTAACCCTTTTACCAAAAAAAACCATTGAAAAAAAGGTGAAAAATCGAACTTTTTTTTCTAAGGTGTGCCAATTTACGATTTTGTGACTTTTTTAATTTTATTTTGGTTTAACTAGAAGATATATGTTTCATGAACACGTACAAACTAATTTTTTTAAATTCAGATCACCGTACGAAAAGTGAGAACGCCCGCAAATTGATGGCGTTTTCCGAGAGGGTCTTGGCAGATTTATTTTTACGGCAGCCATTTAAAAAAAAAAATTAAAAAAAATTTTTTTTTGTGTATTTTAATATATAATAAATAACCCTAAAAAAGTTCAAAAAGATTCAATCATTCCTTCCCAGTTTAAAAAGTCCTCAAAAAATGGTAAAAATTAAGGCGATTACATGTATCGCCCCCCTTAAGGAATTTAAGGGGGTATTCTAGTGTAGAAATCGATTTCTTTTATTTCATATTTTCAAAGTTTAACTATCTAAGAATATGGGAACGAGAAGGTTTTTGAAAATTTGAATTATTTTCGGAGATATAGGCATTTCACTGACTCGGTCTCCAAACTGGTTTGGCAGAGTCTAATCGGACAAAAAGCATTAGGAAGTCATTAGACCAATTTAAGACAGTTTATCTTCAGATGAATTATTAATTCGATATATAGGATCAGAAACTCAGAACAATAATGAATCTATAAACTCGTTGATTTGGATTTTCGCGCTGAACATATTCATTTCCGATCTCGGGTAATTGAAATAGCAACATTCATTGCTGTTTGCATATTCAAAGAAGGTTTCTTTCCAATTTTAAAAATGATGACCCTTATGGTAATGCAAATTGGGCCAGAAACTCATTCATTTGTTGTAAGACGAGACAATGCCCGGATTGAATGATCTGAAATACGTACATCCAACTCTTTAAAGGAGGTTATATAACTGCTCCATTGGAAGAGAGAAATGCAGAAATTAGTTTTTTTGAACTAGAAGAAGGTCCGATGCCTGAAGCAGGAATGGCAGATTAAATAAAAGAAGTATAACATATCATTTTATGATTTTGGCAGCAAAAAACTTTACGCAAAAGAACAGACTTTTTCAGTACTGTTGACACGATTTCTCGAGTTCTACTCGACCGATTCACTTGGAATATTCGGAGAGTCTTATTTATAGACCTATCTGTAGCCCGAACTAGCATTATTCCCAAATTCAAATTTTTACTATATTTAAAAAATTCGAGAAGCTTAAAAAAACAGCAAAAAAGACACTTTTTTTTCAAACAGTCGTCAATTTGTGTTCGGGCGATTGCGACATCATTGTAGATTAATAATTAACTTTATTAATTAACTTAATTAATTTTTATATATCTTGACGTTTTAAAACTTTCTGAACATTTTGGCATACCTTAGAAAAAATGGATGTATGCGTGTGTGTGTGTGTGTGTGTGTGCGTGTATGTTTGTGTGTGCGGATACAAATTTTCGTCGACGATTTCGGGAACACGGATGAAGCGATTTGAATAATTCAAAAAACATTCGATTCGTGTTGATAAGGAGACGTGCTGATTAGTTTTTGGCAAAGGTAGGTCTAGCCGTTCCGGAGATGCGGGGCAAAAAGTGCCAAAAATAGTAACTCAGTTTTTAGGAGAACGGAGCCTTCGATTTGAATACATTCAAAAAACATTTTACTTTTATTAACAAGATGAAGAACTGATAAAATTTTCATGACGGCAGGTCTAGCGGTTTCGGAGATCTAGTAAAAAAAGTTAAAAAGAAATGCCTGGCGGTCAAAAATGATCATTAGACATATGCACATCAAATTATCAGATATTTTATAGAGATTTTAACAATAAGTATAAATTTTGTTTACATTCCTATGGGTTCCGTACCAATGTTTATCCATTAGACGGCAACGCGGCGCTTACGCGCTTCGATATTTCGTCTTTATGCAGTTAAAGCAGTACGATCGCTTTGAAAAAATGTTTTGAATTTCCAAAATATTTCAAAATAAATTTTTCTTCAAAAATTCTTTTTTTTTTTCAAAAAAAGTAAATTTTTGTCAGAAATTTATAGTTTCTCAAAAATCTATTTTTTCAGAGTAAATTTTCTTTCAAAAATGTTAATCTTTTTAAAGGAGGACTGAAATCATGTCAAGACTGAGGTGCCAATTTTTTGAGACCTCCCACTTCGCCAGATGCCAGTTTCTTTAATTTCCAACTTTTTTTTTAATATTTGTATTGTATTTTAATAATATTAATCAACAAGTGGTAAAAATGGATCGTAAAAACATGCATTGCTTTCTTTTACGACACTTTAAAAATGACCTAAAGTTCATCGCTCTATACTAGAATGTCCCCTTAATCTTCTATATATATAAAAATAAGTCGGGTTTTCCTTCCTGACGAAATAACTCCAGAACGCACGAACCGATTTCGACAATTTTGCATTTGTTGGAAAGGTCTCGCAAAGCTCAGCAAGGTTTATAGCTAAGAAAATTAGTGGTGCATGGCATCGAGAATTATCAGAATTATGCTTGGTTAAGTCAACATGCAATTCTTGCCGCAAAGAATAATGATGTACACGCACTGAATTTCACCATTAAATCAAAAATTTCTGGCCATTTGGTGACATACTAATGATTCCCACTGGTCTTCCGTTTGACTTCAAACGATTGCAATTTCCAGTGCGCCTTGCGTTCGCAACAACAAGTCGCAAGGCCAATCGCTTAGTGTTTGCGGGATAAATTTCAAATAGATTATTTAGAAAATCATTGTTTTTCACATGGGCAGTTATACGTTGCCTGTTCACGAGTTGGAAAACCATCCGCTTTGTTTGTGTTAACGTCAGACCAAAAAACAAAAATTGTGGTTTACCAAAGATTCACTTTCATTTACTTAGAGAAGTTCAACTAAAAAACACTTCATTTTTGTAATCGAAATAAATTCATTGCTGTTGTATAATAAAATCAAATTTTTCCTTTTCAAACATAAAACAAACAAAAAAATATTCATCTTTCTCACGAAACCATCTGGTGGCGAAACGAAGTTCGTCGGGTTTGCTAGTAAGCTAATAAAAATTGATGAAGGAGATACTCATAGAGATGTAACACAACTATTTTTTATATTTATTTATACATTTATTTTAAATAAACATATCGATTTCATTCTATCTATTACCCCCTTAGCGTCTGCTCAGCGCATATGGGCGATGAGAGTCCTGCACAGGGTGCTGGTGCCACTGCCGCTTCATCTGCAGGCCCTGCACAAGGCGCAGGAGTCTCAATCGACTCAGCAGGGCGGCAGACCTCCGCCGCCGCCTCCGCAGGATCCTCTGCCGCCTTTGATGAGGGTGCTTCCTGAACTATTGAGGAGACAATTTGAGTACGAGGAGCCCTTGGTCAGAGGAGGAGTGCATTTGATGCATTCGGAATTCTTCCAGGTATGGATAAATGACATATGGCATATATATAATATATATATATATATATATATATATATATATATATACACCTAAGTCTGTTTTTACACGGTCTTTTTGTACACGGTTTTGATATAACACTGTTTGAAAATTGAACATTTTTAATTTTTTTACACGATTTTATTCCATTTAGCACGATTTGAAATTTTATGTACTTAATTTTTTTTTGTCAAATTTAATTTTTGCGAAGTACGTTCATATCACAAAAAAGTATTTATGAAAGAAAAAAGTCTGAAACCATCGATAGTATCGATAGTTTGCGAAGACTAGCTTAAAGATTTGAGTGAATTCCCCTTTAGCGCGTACAAACAATTTTTACTGGTCAAAGCAAATGTGAATAGCACTAATTTAGGGGAATTATTATTAAAATAAACATGAATTCTTGTTTTTGAAAATTCTTGTTTTTCACTAATTTTAATAGGTTTCAGAGAGTAGGACAAATCACCCATTTTTGTATAAGATCAATGTCTTTTTTTACACGTTTTTTTTTACACGGTTTCTTCTGGAACCAATCTCCGTGTAAAAACAGACTTAGGTGTATATATATATTGTTACTTTGTTTTATTACTCTGTTTGTTTTTTAGCTGAATGATGAGCTAGCAGAATAGCTCGAAACGTATTAAAAATATTTATATTTACGTTCTGGTTTTATTTTTTCAACTTGTGGCTGAAAAACCGTATCATATAATGTTTCAAAGTTGAAACAAACAATATCAATCAATATATATATATATATATATATATATATATATATGCCGGGTCAGCTAGTATAAATATATATATATATATATATATATATATTATATATATATTATGTATTCAAATTTATCGTTGACTAGCTGACCCGGCAAACGTTGTTTTGCTAAGTAAGGTATATTCTAAACAATTTCTGGAGAATCAAAAATATTAATACTTTAAGTGCATAAGGATGTGTTGTTTGAATGCTCTCTATACAATGAGATATTATAAAAACAATAAACATAATTAGTTTGTCTATATTTTGTCAATACAATCAAACTGGAAGTTTTGTACACTTTCTATAGAAAACATGGTATAATTCATTCCAAGTCTTTTTTGCTATTTCGACTTATTGATTACGTTTTAAGCTTTTCAGATTCTTCTGGATTCTGGATTTTGTGTATAATTGTAAATGATACTACTGAGCTTATAAAAAATTTTCAAATTTCTGCGAGGATAGATAGAAAATGAATTAAGTATTTCTTCTTTGACCTGCTTTTTGAAAAGTTTCAAGTAACATTCGATGAATCAAAGTAAATTTAATAAAAAGTATATATGTAGAGCAGGGCGAGACACAAAGGTCCAATTTGACTTTGAGCAAATATTAATCTATTATATAAAAATAAGCCGGGTTTTTCTTCCTGATGATATAACTCCAGAACGCATGAACCGATTTCGACGATTTTGCATTCGTTGGAAAGGTCTCGGGCTTTTTCACATACAGTCATCTCTAATACTTAGCATGTACTACAAACTAATATTTTTTGTTTGAATGCTACTCATTGTTCTCTGCTCAGTTAATTTCATGTGACAAACCTGCATTGTGTTCACTGTGAAATTGTGCAAAAAAGTAAAAAAAAATAAGTTATTCGTTTCCTAACATTTTAATTCGAAACCATCAAATCAAATCACGTGTATTGTGCAAATTTTTATTCAATTTCAACAGCAGGCAATTTTTTTCTTCATCTTTTAATCACCAAACGAAATGCTACATAAAAAGAAATCCATCTGGTGGTGAAACGGAGTTCGCCGGGTTTGCTAGTTATATTATGAAATCAAACCAATTATATCACAACAAATAACACATTTCAAACGAACAATTATCTGACTACGTTCAGTAAAACAGCCAGCTACTTCATCATTGTAGAAATGTGCTTTTTTGCCGTCTTTCAAAAATTTGTTATCTAGACCTTTTTACCCGATGGACGGGTTAACTTGGAACGGTCATGTGGCAAACAGTTTTAATGTCTTATTTTAATTTTAAAGTAATTTTACAAAATATTTACATTTTTTACTAATGCTAAAAAACTACCAACGGAAGAAAATACTTTTATTATGGATTTTCAAAAATTAGTGTTTATCTCCCGATAGCAAAGTCATGAGAATCAAGATTATAACTGGTGATACATCTTTTTCGCTCTACTTTCAAATATTGTTGTTAAACAATGCTTAACTTTACTGGTTTTTGACACTTCGGTGGTGAATCTTTTAAACCCTGGACCTTCATATATTACTATCTATTCTTCGATAAATTATGGGAAATTATAACTGGGAAAATGTTATTCGACAAAATGTCCCTTTGATCGATACCAAATTTAGGTTCTGAATTGAAATAACATAAATAAAAAATAATATAATCTAGAAAATGTTTTATAAATACCAGTGAGAATATAATTATACAAATGGGATCTTTCCGAGCACCATCTTTGAGAAAAATATGCCAAAAAGTACATTTTCATATTAACATTTCAAAAAAGTTGATATTTTGAGTTTCCAGTAACACTTGCGATCCGTTTAATAACATTTTGTGTATAAATAAAACTACGAACGAAACTACGAATCATAATTAAATAATATTCACGTAAACATCCTATTAAACGTAATTGAACATCATCTGTCAAAAACGTTTGACATTTGACGTATTAGTCACCGTTCATCGTTTTATTCAAATTACGCTTCTACAAAAAAATTCAAATTAAAAATGTAAAGTTTCTACGCGATTTTGAAATAATATCTCATCTTTCCGACCATCTCTGGGTTGGCACGAATTTTTCATAACTAAGACTGGCCAAATCGGTTTAGCCGTTTTCGAGTTTTAGCGGATCATTTTGATAAATATTGATAAATGTTGGATTATTTAATTTTTTTTTTTGCTTGGCGACCTGTGTGTACGAGTGTCGCCTATAGGCGACATCCTGTGTGTCGAATGTTGCGTCAATATTTATCACTTTAAGTTAGATTATTGAGAATTTTTAGTTGCTATTGTGGTTTTTATCTACATATACGAGTATATAAAAATAAGTTGGGTTTTCCTTCCTGACGATATAACTCCAGAACGGACGAACCGATTTCGACAATTTTGCATTCGTTGGAATGGTCTCGGGCTCCGCAAGGTTTATAGCTAAGAAAATTAGTGGTGCATGGCATCGCGCCTTAATGCAAATTGCTGGAACTTCACGCACCGTAATTAAAAATTTGACTAATGACATTAGTGAGAATTATCAGAATTATGCTTGGTCAAGTCAACGAGCAATTCTTGCCGCAAAGAATAATGATGTACATGCACTAAATTTCACCATTCAATCAAAAATTGCTGGAAATTTGGTGACATACCAATGATTCCGACTGGTCTTCCGTTTGACTTCAAACGATTGCAATTTCCAGATCGCTTTGCGTTCGCAATAACAAGTCACAAGGCCAAACGCTTAGTGTTTGCGAGATAAATTTCAAATAGATTATTTAGAAAATCATTGTTTTTCACATGGGCAGTTATACGTTGCCTGTTCACGAGTTGGAAAACCATCCGCTTTGTTTGTGTTAACGACGTCAGACCAAAAAACAAAAAATGTGGTTTACCAAAGTGCACTTCAATGAGACGGATAATTTGCGGATTCACTTTCATTTACTTAGAGAAGTTCAACTAACAAACACTTTATTTTTGTAATCGAAATAAATTCATTACTGTTGTGTAATAAAATCAAATTTTTCCTTTTCAAACAAAAAATTTCTTCATCTTTCTCACGAAACCATCTGGTGGCGAAACGGAGTTCGTCGGATTTGCTAGTTATTTGTAAAAATATGATTTACTTATAATTTTAATTTGATTTTCAGGTTCTTATTGGTTTGGCTTGTGGCATAGAGCTCGATAAAGTCCTGATCGATAATGGTTACAAATGGACTTGGTTCAGAAGATATTGCTCGGCTGCCAGAGTTGCTAATTCACTCATACACAGGTTAATATATTAGTGAAGAAATTTAATTCCATATTGCATAAAAAAATGTATATATATAGAGTGCGCGTAAGGTTCGCACGCGATTGAAGTAAAACTTATTTGCTACTTTACAAGATGGCATTTAAGTAAAAATAAATACATCATATAACAATTTTGAATAATGTTCATCAGTAATATGGTAACTACTCGTGATGCACACATTTATTAGTGTCAACCATTATACACATTTATATAATGATTAATTATAAATTATATATTTATAATAGCATTAAAAATATGTATAATATTTAAAAACAATAATGTAATTAAAGTCATACTTTTAAAACGGCGTGATCGGTTTGTCACTGTAATTAGCATTTAGAAATGAACCTTTCGCTGGCGATATAATCTCATTCTTTGAACAGCTGTAATATTTGTCTTGTCTAAAAAATATTTTTCATTTTAATAACTTCAAAGATTTATAGAAACTACGAATAATATAGAAATAATTTCTAATCAATAAACTTACGTTTAGTACACGGCACAAATGTTTAATTTGTTTTATTATTTTCAAGGAACAGGGTAAAATATTTTTTTGATTCGGGCATTTTTCATTAAATCAAGATTTGTACTACGATGTAACTTTAAAATGTTTATTTATCTATGGCGATTTCCTTGTTGATATCGGTACGCGTACAACGTTGATGGCGTTACGCATACAACGACAGATCTCTATCCACGTGACACGACGACTAATCACAATCGACTCGTATTGAAATGATATCATCGAGAGCGAATGACGAATCATTGGCACTCGACTCTTATCTTATCTTATCTGCCGTAACGCATTTTTGTTGCATTTGTACGGATTTACACCCGAGTCGCGCCTAAAGAAGTTTTACTTCAAAAATATAACTTTTTAAGACTTTATTGACCAAATTTTTGTACAATAATCAATATATCTAGTCACCACTAGAAATTTCATTTTATATCAATATTTTTTTTTCCAGAACACCATTACCTGCAGCCTTTTGCATGGACGTAAGACACAGTCTGGCATCGATGTATCCCTCAATGGAATTTGCAGACGAGGACACTCTTTTGTCTCACGAAGATCATAAGTTGTTCAAGCCTCAGCATGATGAACAACTGTTACAATGGCTGAATAGGTAAACGAACTCAATTAATCCCAATTGGAACTTTTGTTTTTATATAATTTTGCTAATTTTAGGCGACCTGACGATTGGACGTTGTCTTGGAGCGGTGCTGGTACAATTTACGGCTGGGGTCATAATCAAAGGGGTCAATTGGGAGGAGTTGAAGGAGCCAAGGTAATAATATATACATATATATATATATATATATATATATATATACAGGGCCGGTCCTGGGGTCCTTAGCGCCCGCATGCAACTTTTTTTAGCGCCCTCCCCCTATTAATTTTCACCGTTTTAACAGTTTATCATTAAAATTATATAAATATTCAAATATTTTTTAAAAAATAATTTTTAATTATTCTGGATTTAGTGCACAAAAAATTTGATATAATCTAGAAGGGTATAAATATTAGGTTGTCAAATAGTATTTATTATTTTGATATAAAGATCTTTATATCAAAATAATAAATACTATTTCTGAAATGCATTTCTTAAGTTCTATAACTTTAATTTAACAAAAAAATTAAGTGAAATAAATAAATTAATTTTTAATTATTCTGGATTTAGTGAACAAAAAATTAGATATAATCTAAAAACGTATAAAATATATTGATTTTAAATTTATTTAGAAAATCGAGGCGATTCGGGGTTGATTATAATCAAATATTTTGAAATTTTCAATTATTTTTAACGTATGTGCAATATTAGTATTTAAAAAAAAACTAGCATTTAATTTTCAAACATAACACTCGTATTTCATGTTGGATTTTTTAAATTTTAATTTAATTTAATTTTTCATCATTTACAATATCCAAAATTGCGTCATAAACTTCAACTTATTGATATCGTAAGAGCCGTCATATTCAGAGTATCAGCATGTTGTTTTAAAGTTAAATTTTTAACGTATTTTGGAAGTATTGTTCAAAAATCAGTAAAAAAATGCAAAGAAATTACACATTTCTTGAACAATATTGAAAAAAAAACTTATTATATTTGATATGTATTATTTCTGTATAGTTAATAATTATTAAATTCAGAGTATGGACACCACTAGGTATAAAACAAGCCTTAAGATTTTTGTTACAAAGTAAATTTTGCTTTCATTTTTCGTATTTGCTCCATTTCCATAACCCTAACCACGCACGTCTGAACATTCAAAGTTCATCAGATGAGAAACATTTGCAACCAAAACAAAAGTTACAATTCAATTTCTCGGAATAAACAAGTCATTTTCTAAGCACTGACTCTACATTTTTTATAATTTGTTTATAATTTTTAACAAGTTCCGATTCAACTAAATCAGCTCGCAATTTTTCGTCAATAATGGGATTGAACACTAGATAATTTCTTTTTAGATTCCACGGTAACTTAAAACAAAGAAAAAATTGAATAAGTAGATTAAGCAATAAACAGAGCTGTTATTTACTAATTTGCAGAATTATTAATCGGTTAATTGTTTCTACTGATATCACATTGCAAAATAAATATACTTTTTGTGTCTCCGTATCCCTAGCTAAGTTAAATTATTTATTATAATTTATTAAGTATTCTAGATTTTAAATAAATAATTCTAGATTTTATATAAAAAAATATAAATATTATATTATAAATTTAGTTTCCGAAACTCGTTTTGGCGCCCCCTAAGGCTTGCGCCTGCATTTTTTACATGCATCGCATGCAAGGCAGGACCGGCACTGTATATATATATATATATATATATATATATATATATATATATATATATATATATATATCATATATATTATTTATGTTAGGTTTTAACACCAGCAACTTGCGAAGCCTTATCCAGTTTACGTCCAGTCCAACTTGTTGGAGGCGAGCAATCTCTAATCGCAGTTACTGCTGATGGAAAAGTTTATGCAACAGGTATTTATCTATTTTTGTAAAACTGTACAAAGAAGTTGTAAAAAAAATCACACTTCAAATAATACTATAAGCCTGCTTATTGCTCCATTTCTTGGTGAACAAGAAGACTCCTAAGATTTCTTTTATCATATGATGAGAATTTGAAAGAAATTCAATTCAAATGTTTAAGTTTAAGTTTATAGAATTAATATATATATATAAGACAAACATGGGTACATTTTATTTTACTATTGTTTAGTAAAAATTATTTTTATTGTTGGTAAATTACAAATACATCTTGACACAATTGAAATTTATTATCCTTAGTCTGAAGTCCAGAAGATAACAGCAGATATTTTCTTTCTAATTCATAATCATAAACATTACTAATTACAGGCCGATATCATTATTATCAAACTTTGCTAAGGTATTTGAAAAAATTATTTATAGAGAACTAATTCCTTCTGTTAGAACTTTAATTTCTATTAATCAACAACATTCATGCCTGCCCGTTCTACGATAACAAATTTAATTTGTATTAAACAATATATAGCTGAGAATCTTGACACTAATAGACAAGTTGACGTTATTTACACTGATTTCAGTAAAGCTTTTGACAAAATTGATCATAACATTCTTCTTACTAAATTATCTAAGATTGGTCTTAATTCTTCACTTATTCACTTTTTCAAGAGTTATCTTCATAATCGCAAACAGTTTGTTTATCTTAATGGATTCTTGAGCAACATTGAAAATATCAGTTCAGGTGTTCCTCAGGGATCCATTCTTGGTCCATTACTATTTATTATTTTTATTAATGACATATCTGATATTATTAGCTGTCCACATTTATTATTTGCAGATGATCTGAAACTATATCTCAAAATAAATTCTATTGATGACTGCTTATTATTACAGTCTCAACTTGACCTCTTTCCACTCTTGGTGTGACTATAACAAATTACATTTAAATATATCAAAGTGCAAGATTCTTAGTTTTACACATAAGCGCGTTTCAATACTTTTTGATTATAAAATTTATAACACCAGCATTGATAGATGTAATAAAATTTCCGATTTAGGTGTTCTATTTGATTCTGGTTTGTTTTTCACAGATCATATTAACTGATATTTGTAATACAGCACACAAATCTTTAGGTTTGATACTGAGAAATTGTAAACAATTCAATTCTAACAATGCACTTCTTTGCATGTACTATTCTATTGCACGTTCAAAATTAGAATATGGTTCGATTATTTGGTATCCTCATCATATCAACAACTCTGATGCGATAGAGAAGGTTCAGCGAAAATTTCTGAAATACCTTTATTATCAAACATATAAAATTTACCCTGAACGTGGCTTTGACCACAACACTTTACTAAACGAATTTGGTATTCCTTCTCTTGCCTCACGTCGATTTATCTGTACAATTATGTTCTTATTTAAGCTTTGCAATAATTCTATAGACTGTCCTCTTATTCTTAATCAGCTATCTTTTAATGTTCCAAGACTATCTACGCGTTCATAATTATTTTTCAATTATCCTACCCTTAAATCTAATTCTCTCTTAAATTCGCCAATTTTACTTATGTCCTCTAACTTTAACTTAATTAATAATGAAATAGATATTCACAACACTTCACCTAATCAAATAGTCTCCATCTGCACAAGTTAACCTTTTTATTTTCTTTCAAATATCTCATTATTTTTTTATTCTGTTCATAATTAATATTGTTACATTCTGCATTATATGTAATTTTATGTTAAGCATTTTATGTTACTAACTTAATATTGTAATTTTGTATATATTTTAATTGTTATTCATTATGTAAAATAATTGTATTTTTGAGTCTTCTTGGAGAAATCTGTGGGCTATATATTTAAATAAATAAATAAAATAAATGAATAATCAGAGGTTCTTTTTCTTTGAAGGCTATGGGGCTGGTGGTCGTCTAGGCATCGGTTCCTCGGATTCAGTATCAGTGCCAACTCTTTTGGAATCCATTCAGCATGTTTTCATTAAAAAAGTGGCAGTCAACTCTGGTGGTAAACATTGCCTGGCTTTGACATCCGAAGGTGAAGTTTATTCGTGGGGCGAAGGAGAGGATGGAAAACTTGGACACGGGAACAGAAAGTAAAAATAAAAAAATATTTTGTATATGTAAAAATAAATATGGGTTTTATATAATTTTAGATTACTAAATTTTTAATTCTTTGTCCTCCAGTGGGTATGATCGTCCCAAGCTGATAGAATCTTTGGCTGGTATTCGTATCATGGATATTGCTTGTGGAGGTGCTCATTCTGCAGCAATTACTGCTGCAGGACGTCTCTTGACCTGGGGTAAAGGACGTTATGGTAGACTTGGCCATGGTGATAGTGAAGATCAGTTCAAACCGAAAATGGTAAAGTTATATATGAGGTATTTTTATCAAATCGTAAACTTATATAAAATTGGGATATTATTCTAATTTTTCTTAAGTGTCCCCAAAAACTGAAAAAAAACTAGCTGTAAATGGAATTCTGTCTTAAGGCAATTAAGGCATCGTGCCTTAAGGCAAATTGCTGGAACTTCCCGTACCAAAAATTATTATTTTTATAAAAACGATTGACATTTTTAGAAAAAATTTACTTTGAAAAAATAAGATTTTTGAGAAACTATAAATTGGGCAAAAAATTACTTTTTTGAAAAAAAAATGTTTTAAAAAAAAATTTTTTTTTAATTTTTTTTTTTTGAAAAAAAATTTTTTTTTTATTTTGACATATTGTGGAAGATCTGAACTTTCTTTTCAAAGCAATCGTACTGCTTTAACCGCATAGGCGCGTAAGCGCCGCGTCGCTGTCTAACGCATAAGCATTGGTACGGAACCCATAGGAATGTTTACAAAATTTATACTTATTGTTAAAATCTCTATAAAATATCTGATAATATGATGTGCATATGTCTAATGATCATTTTTGACCGCCAAATGGCTCATTTTTTTACTTTTTCCTCCATATCTCCGAAACCGCTAGACCTACCTTCATGAAAATTTTATCGATTCTTCATCTTGTCAATACAAGTGAAATGTTTTTTGAATTATTAAAATCGCACGCTCCGTTCTCTTAAAAACTGAGTTACCGTTTTTGGCACCCTTTGCCCCGGATCTTCGGAACGGCTAGACCTGCCTTCGCCAAAAACTAATCAGCACGTCTCCTTATCAATACGAATCGAATGTTTTTTTAATTATTCAAATCGGTTGATCCGTGTTCCCGAAATCGTCGACGAAAATTTGTATCCGCACATACATACACACACACATACATCCATTTCTTCTAAGGTATGCCAAAATGTTCAGAAACCTCTGAAACGTAAAGATATATAAAAATTTTCATTTTTGATTTTTTTGCGATTACTATAACTTGCCCTACGGGAAGTTAATTAGAGAGGAACACTAAATTTCCATAAGTTTGTTTAAAAACTGATGATATTTCCTATCATCAAAATTTTTGTCAATTCTCACAAAAACTGATCTAAACTGAAAATCCCTAAATTTCCTTAGAAAATTATATAAAATAGGGAAATTACTCTAAGTTTTCCTAAATTTTCACAAAAACTAATAGATAATAATAAAAATACTTCAGATTTGCCTTCAGATTTACTTCAGTATGTAGATAATAAAAATAACTAAATTACATTCTTCCACTAATCTATCTATGAACTTCTTATATAAATTTTATTTGTTTAATTTGTTTATTATGTATTTTTTTTTATCATTTAGGTTGAAGCTTTGGCCGGTTTCAGAGTTACTGATGTCGCTTGTGGCTCCGGAGATGCTCAAACTCTTTGCGTTACTGATGATGATAATGTCTGGTCATGGGGTGATGGTGATTATGGAAAATTAGGTAATAATTAGAAATAATTAATACATTTTTTGTTTATTTGAATGATCTACATTCGAGAAACTATTCAAATATTGATACGACTATGAATTTTCATTGAATTCAATTAAGTTTTTGTTTTTATTGTTCTAAATTTGTTTTTGTTTTGTTTTATTCTAGGACGAGGTGGATCCGATGGCTGCAAAGTACCACAAAAGATTGAAAGTCTTGCTGGTTTAGGAGTTATCAAAGTCGAATGTGGATCTCAGTTTTCAGTTGCTTTGACAAGATCTGGAAGTGTATATACATGGTAAATATAGAAATTTTTATAATAAAAATAATAATAATAAATGCATTCTTACAATACTTTCTTATAATGTTCATTGCTCTCTTATTTAAGAAAAAAAAACATTTTCATAAGATTTATTAACTTCCCGAAGGTGAAATTAAAGTTTTTCCAGTAAATTTGGCTTGCCAATTTTATGTTTCAAGTCAGTCTGAATCGTTTCACACCAATGTTTTTGCAATGATTGTTTTGAATATTTCAAATAATGGTTTTATATCTTTAATATAGCGGCTTATATCTACAATATCAGAAATAAATGTTTCTGATCTTTGTTTACAAATTTTCTCAAATCTCGTTAGTCGTGATTTAATTACACGTTGTTTCATTTTTAGTAATTTTAAAGATTCCATTTTTGACACGGATGGTAATTGTAAGAATTGTTAGTTTTAAGTGACCTGATTTCTGCTCCTTTTGCTTCCAATGTGATGTACTTTATTTCCTCCGATTGCTGGACGTCAAATCCGGCTCGAAGGACCAATGTTTTTTTTTACTGATTGTTTTGATAAAAATGTTACTATTTTTTGACCAATATTTTATTGTTTTTAATCTTTTTCAGGGGAAAAGGTGACTATCATCGATTAGGTCATGGAAATGATGACCACATTCGAAGACCAAAGAAAATTCTGGCTTTGCAATCGACTAAAATTGTATCTATAGCAACAGGTAAAGAACTGTTAAGTGTCTAAATACAGTAATAGCTTATGTAAACCAAATGTTCATTTCATAAAAAACCAGTTGACCATTTAGTCTATTATATTATTATGTCAGAAAGACATATAATGATATGATAAAGCATCTAAAATATTTACTTTACATTTGAATAAACTCCTAGTCAAAATTTAAGTTATTTTTAACAAATTGGTTCATAAATACAGTCTTAATGATCGTAGATCTATTTACTATTAAAAGTTCTTTTTGCTGTTCTTCGAAATCACTACTAATAATCAGATGATTGCTTTAGAACATCTTTAGAAAGACCAGATGATATTTCTTGAACTAATTCAACATCTAATGCAAATACCTCATCTACCTCTATTTCATCCACGATTCACAAATATTTTGTAGAATACTACAAATGAAACAAAAGAGCACCAAACCGAAACTAAACTAGTGAGGTGGGTGGCATCGTGCCTTAAGGCAAATTGCTGGAACTTCCCGTACCGTAACGAAATGTTCGAGGAATACTGAATGTTTTCAAATAAATTATTATAAATATTGTAACATTGTCTAATATTTATAAGAATTATATAAACTGAATTGCAGAGTTGAAATTATTTGTTTAAAGTATATTAGAACAACAGTCAGAATTAAAAATAAAATCTGAATTATTTTCGATATACAAAAATTAAAAAAAAAAAAAAAAATGAAACAAATTTTTTTTTTCCAAAATCAATTATTTTATTAAGACGAGCAGAAAGTTCTTTGAATCATTCAAATCGGACGCTTAGTTCTCTCAAAAACTGCCATTTTTTACATATTTAGCTCCGTATCTTCGAAATGGCTGAGCCTACCTTTGCCAAAAACTAATAAACACTTCTCCCAATCATTACTAATTGAATGTTTTTTCGATCATTCAAATCGGATACTCCGTTCTCTCAAAAAGTCGATTTCTATTTTCTGCACTCTTTGCTCCGTATCTCCGAAACGGCTGGACCTGCCTTCACCAAAAACTAATCAGCTCTTTTCCCTATCAATAGGAATCGAATGTTTTTTTAACCATTCAAATCGGTTGATCCGTTCGCCCGAAAACGTGGCGAAATTTGTATCCATACATACATACACACACACACACATCCATTTTTTCTGAGGTATGCCAAAACGTTCAGAAACCTTGAAAACGTCGAGAAATGTAAAAATTTTCAATTCCGATTTTCGTCCCATTACAATAACTTACCCTACGGGAAGTTAACAAATCATTCAAATTTAAATAACATATCTAATAAATAATATATCTAATTTTATTACCAGGTTCTTTACATTGTGTCGCCTGCAGTGACCAAGGCGAAGTCTTCACATGGGGTGATAATGATGAAGGACAACTTGGTGATGGTACGACTTATGCCATACAGAAACCTAAATTGGTACAAGGACTTAAGGTAAAACTATACAATTTTATAATAATTTTTTGATCTTGGTTTTTATTTTAAAGTTAAAGAGTCTGTGTTATTTATTTATTTATTTATTTTAAATATATAGCCCACAGATTTCTTCCTCAAAAATACAATTATTTTACATAATGAATAACAATTAAAATATATACAAAACTAGCTGTAAGTGGAATTCTGTCTTAAGGCAATTAAGGCATCGTGCCTTAAGGCAAATTGCTGGAACTTCCCGTACCAAAATTTTTTTTTTTTTTTTAAAACGATTAACATTTTTGAAAAAAAAAAATTACTTTGAAAAAATAAGATTTTTGAGAAACTATAAATTGGACAAAAAATTACTTTTTTTTGAAAAAAAATTTTTTTTTAAAAAAATTTTTTTTTTAATTTTTTTTTTTGTTTTTTTTTGAAAAAAAATTTTTTTTTATTTTGACATATTGTGGAAGATCTGAACTTTCTTTTCAAAGCAATTGTACTGCTTTAACTGCATAGGGACAAAATATAAAGCGCGTAAGCGCCGCGTCGCCGTCTAACGCATAAGCATTGGTACGGAACCCATAGGAATGTTAACAAATTGTATACTTATTGTTAAAATCTCTATAAAATATCTGATACTTTGATGAGCATATGTCTAATGATCATTTTTGACCGCCAAATGGCTCATTTTTTTACTTTTTTCTCCATATCTCCGAAACCGCTAGACCTACCTTCAAGAAAATTTTATCGATTCTTCATCTTGTCAATACAAGTGAAACGTTTTTTGAATTATTCAAATCGGATGCTCCGTTCTCTCAAAAACTGAGTTACCGTTTTCGGCACTTTTTGCCCCGTATCTTCGGAACGGCTAGACCTGCCTTCGCCAAAAACTAATCAGCACGTCTCCTTATCAATACGAATCGAATGTTTTTTGAATTATTCAAATCGGTTGACCCGTGTTCCCGAAATCGTCGACGAAAATTTGTATCCGCACATACATACACACACGTACATACATACATACATACACAGTTACACACACACATACACACACACACACACACACACACACACATACATCCATTTTTTCTAAGGTATGCCAAAATGTTCAGAAACCTCTGAAACGTAAAGATATATAAAAATTTTCATTTTCGATTTTTTTGCGATTACTATAACTTGCCCTACGGGAAGTTAATAATAAATTCGCTATAAAGAGATATGACAACCGTTTAGGTTGCCATCTATAAAGCCAAGTCGTTCTCATAGAACCCGTTAAGTTGTAATTGCAATTAAAATATAAATACATGTAAAAATAATGTAATAGTACATGTGCAGATCTAATCTTGTCAGATTTATGTAATAAAAATGCAATGTTAAAATTGTATTTCAAAATATAAATCCATGAAAATAATGTATTAGTACATGTCTATAGATCTAATTTTGTCAGATTTATGATAATAAAAATGCCATGGTAATTGTATTTCTTTCACAAGCGAATGTACGCAGTATAAAGATCACAACTTGAAATAGGCACCCTAAACATATTAGTAAATCTGTGCTCATATCAAGTCAGCAGTAGTAATAATTAATAATCAGAAGAAGAAACAACGTGTGTGGTCTATATTTCGCTTGAAAATATAGATAGCAATATGTTTCCAAGTAAAAATACCATTACCCGAAAATTTGAAATAATAGATTCGCTATAAAGAGATATGACAACCGTTTGGGTTGCCATCTATAAAGCCAAGTCGTTCTCATAGAACTCGTTAAGTTCTAATTGCTGTTAAAAATAAATACATAAAAAATTATGTATTAGTACATGTCTAGATCTAATCTTGTCTGATTTATGTAATAAAAAATGCAATGTTAAATTGTATTTTTTTACACAAACGAATGTGGCGCAGTATAAATATAACAACTTCACAACATCAAATTGGTGCCTTAACATATTAGTGAATCTGTTTTCATATCAAGTCGGCAGTAGTAATAATTAACAATGAGAAGAAACAACGTGTGTGGTCCGAGATATCCCATCCTTTCAATGTGATACGCTGACCGCGAGCGTCCCATCACTTCGTGTATAAATGTGATTCAAATGAAAATTATGTATGAGATATATAATTCATACTTGATAACTAATTTTAATGAGCTAATTAAGATTTTCTAAAAAAAATAACATCGAAAACACTATAATTAAATATGGTATAAATACATTTTTATAGATAATGTTTTACTCATTTAGTAATAATGAGCCAATGCACATGAGAATATTAAACTATTATTGTAATAATGCATATTATTTTGATATTTATACATATATCACTTATAAATTAAATTGATTGGTTTGAATATATGGAAACTCAAACGGCCGTACTATCTATAAATGCAATGAATTTATTATTACAATTTTGGTAATCCTTCTACTACTAACGATTTATTATTGATGCAAAATATCGGGTGATCCGATTTTGACTTGGAAACATATTGTTTTTATATTTTCAAGTGAAAACTAATGTCACTGCTGCTTGACATCAGGCGGACCAAGAGGGGCAAGAAACCTGTAACTTATAACTTTGGTGCAATCCATCACATTTTATGGACACAGTCGAAGTCTATTAGTCCGGCACCCAACAGTCCGTAATGCCCTATACAGCACCGTTTCGTAAATTTTTGTTTTTTTCAATAAGAGAATAAAAATCTTTTGATGAATGAGTTTAATATTGGCTCATGAACTGTTTATGACATTAAAAAATCAAAAGATGAACTAATAAAGTGTGCTACTCAGTTGGTAACAACTTAAACATCGTCTTCTAGACAAACATTCAATAATCCAAAACTGGAACTAGAGTATTGTTCCAATGCTTTTGTACAGTCTACGTTTGGAAGAAAAGCCGGTAACAGAGACAATGATTGTTGAAAAAGCACAACAGTTAGAACAAAATTTAGGAGTTGCTGAAATCATATGTAATTATTCTGATCGTTTACTTTAAATTTAGACATGGAAATAAAAAATTGGATGTAACTGGAAAACAATTTCAGAAAACCAAATCCTTGCAGAAAAATACAAATTCGAGTCTGAGAATTTAATTCTATATTAGCTGAGGAGGGAAAAAATCAGTCAAAGTTTAGAAAAACATAAGGACAATTAAACGGTTTTGTTATGTGCTAATGACTGCTACCCCTTTTAAATACTGTTTTTCACCACTTTGTACTTTACCACATTTTACGAAGTTTAATTATTAACCTAATTGATTTTATAATTAACGCCCCATAGTTCGGAATTTTCGATAGTCCGTTACCTAAGCCGAGCGTGCCGGACTAATGGACTTCTACTGTAATAATAATATAGATAATGTTTTAATGGGTATTAAATGTTCAAAAAATAAAATAGTAAGTTATGTCAAAAACTGTCTGAAAATATTCAAAATCCAATATAAGTTTCTGATGTGATATTTTATGAATTTTCAAGTTTGATTATGTGTTACGACATATGCTGTATTGTTCAACACTTTATACTAAATTATCTAAAATTTGTAAATTAAACTCTTACTTCTACATTGAGGCTGAACACAAATTAATTTTAACGAAGAAAATATTCTTTCTATGTAATACTAAATTACTTCAACCCTTTCCACTCGGATGCCGCCGCTTCGGGGGCAAAATACATATTAATCTCGGAATTCGCGAGTGAAAAGGGTTAATATATGAATATCGGATCGTACCATTTCATAATATATATAAAACGCATTTGTAAACACCTTGAGAAATAATATACTCTATTTCCTATATCGGAAATGAATTTCAATCTCTTTTGGTTTTCTTTTTAATGCAGTGTAAATATTAAAGATAATTTCATCGCTCAGCAACGATTATTTATAAATGGCTATTGCATGTTGTATGTTATAATAGAAATGATAAACGGAGCATTTCAATGATTACTATAAAGTAGAATGAAGTAATTATAATGCGGCAAGACGATTGCGATAATGCGACGGCCGATGGAAAATTGACTAGGGATATAAATTTTTTATTTTCTTGTTAAATTCATCAAAATGTTCAATCAAATTTGAATTTTAAATTCATCAAATTTGAATTCAAAACCATTTTGATTATATTATGTATTTAAAATTCATCTCAAATGACATGTTCTCATATAATTTTATTTTCGAAAACAATAATTTCGCAATATATTACAAATATCAATCAGGTATCAAGATTGATTATAATAGTGTTTTGAATAAATCTTGAAAAGATGAAAACTGTGCCTTGTGGTAAATTGCTGGACCATTTTCCTATTTTTAAATAAATGTTGTATTGAAAATTAATATACAAACAAATTTGTAAGCTCATATTTAACAATCAAGTTTTATGTTTTGATAATATAAAAATTGGAATAAATAAATATTTTTAAGATTACTATTGATCTATTTTATTACTTTAGATTATCAATCATAATATAAACCTATAAAAAAATGGTGTTCATAAGCGTCATTTTTATAAACAAAACTGTGACAACAACTTGGTTTGGAAAAAATCCTGATTCTCAATGGTTTATATTTTTTAAGAATAATATATTACTATTTCTTTTAGAATTTTCTTCAAAATTTTGAAAAATTCTTAAAATTGTAAAAAACTTTAATATATGTCGTTAATGATATGGTCAATAATAAAACTGACAAATAGGTTTCAAGCAAATATCAATTATAGATTAAAATTGATTTGTTTATTATGGAACTTTATTTTGCATATTAAAATGAAATGTTTAACAGTAATAATAAAAGTTGATTAAATTTTGTTCGATAGTCAAAATATCTTGATAAGTGACTATTGCATATGTATGTTATAAACATTTCAGCATAAATTTTAAATTGGATGCAAAACAAACTGAAAAATTTGTGAAGAAAAATACAAAATTTTTACATGAAAAGTTAAATACGTTAGATTGAAGTATACAAATGATCTTTGAATTCTTTCAATAATTGTAGGAAAATCAAAAATTTGCGTATTAATAAAGTCTATATACAAAATCCAATACAATAATTTTACGATTATACATCCACAAACTGTACACATCATAAGATCTTATAACTTAAAGATATCAAACAAATTTCATTTTCAGTATTTAGCAATTTCTATAAAAACCCATTGAAATTTATTAATACTATTATTAATTTTTTTGTTTTTGTTTAACTTTAAGCCATAATAAAAAGAAATTCATAGCAAGTTTTTCATAGTAAAAACTTCATATGCGACTAGTATGTGTTCGTACGGAATTTTTTATTACACAATCAAAAGACAACTATTGTAGGTCTACGTGTAGTCACTACGTTGACTACGTGGATATTGAAAATTCTACCAACTCTGCGCCTAATGTAATTCTTCCTTCTTCTTCACACGTAAGAAAAATAGTTTGAAATTAATTATAAGATGTATTCTTGAGTTTGTGGGATATAAATTTACTTACGACAGCGTTCCAAACCATGCCGACATACGAGCACGCTTATTATAAACCAACAATGAGCATTTTAGATATTCTGGGAATGCTTTGTGAACGAATTCTTTATTGGGCGTTATTATATTTTTTGTACGGCTGGATACAATGCATGAGATATTTGATTTCTCTGTCTGAAAGCCTAACTCTTTTTCTAACGACGCCCATTCTCCAAAGATGCCAAATTACACACACTAACAGTAAGCCATATGTAATAAAATTTTAAAATTGAATAATACTATTACCTATTATAAAAAAATATTTGTTGAGCTAAGATTTGTATGTAAAGCAAATCAACTAAGACAAAATTTATGCACCTAGATCCATCAATCCATCCGAGAATTATATTTAATTTGCATTTGATTCTTTATCTTTTTTGGAAAAATCTTCGAAAATTTGAAGACTTCTATAATACTGTTACAACAGCAATTAAATCTAACGGTCTAACGTGAGACAGTGGTTGAGGAACTCGGGCAAATTACCCCAAATAGGCTTAAAATGGAATTTTTGTATGTATTTTTTATTGATATTTACTGTATTTGCTACGTAGTTGCCCATATGGGGGTAATCTCTTCTCGTCATGAAGGTAATATCAACTTAGACCAAAATATTTGGGGGGTAATTATTAAAAAAGTTCTCCGGCCGCTGGTCAAAGAGTTAGTCTGAGTATACCTCAATATGTTTATTTTAAAGCAGAAACAGTAAACCAATTATATAAACTTTTAGAAGATTGAGATATATAGTCCAGTGCTACTGAGAACAGGTCATACGTGTAACTACAGTCACAGAACTCCGAGATGTTGAAAATGCGCCTAAGATTATCTAACCGAACATGTTCGTAAGGAAACAAGTTGAACAAACAAGATAAATATGTTCTCTGCGACTATGTTTTTAGCAACCATAACATGAAAATTTGTAGATATAGTTCTGAAGTTTGCATTGCTCTGTTTGATTCGGCAATTTTCCAGATAGAGCCCTTAATCTGAGAAAAATCTTATTGTCAGAGTATTTGACTATAATTTTTAAAGTTGCAAAATGCAGGTTTCGTAAAAAAATATTACGAAGTTCTAACAATAAAAGTCACTTCGTTTTTTACCGCGGAGAATTTAACTATATTTTTTTGAATCTAACATCACGCTTAAGCCCTATACTTATTATATGATTTGAAAGCTTATATTTTAAGTCTCGTGTGTAAAAAATTCTAATCAATTGAATGCAGTAATTTTTGGGTGGTGCCACTTCTTTTGCTATATAAAAGGTAAAAATATTGTTTAAGTCAAAATGAAATTGACCGATGTGCCAAAACTGGTTTGCTAAATTTCATTCCTGGTATTTTGATGTCTAAAATGCCCCACGTCAAAGATGTACGGTTGAAGCTGTTAAAAACGCAAGAAAGGTATTAGTTGATGCAAACATGAGATCCCATTGAGTTAAAATTTATCAATTTTAACAGTTCATGACTACTGGGAAAAGGTCTAGGATTTTCTTCGAAGCTCAATGTGCATGGTTCTCATAGAAAAAAATCTGTGGCGTCCGCGATTCGCCACTGAAAAATTCTGAAAATTATCAGGTTTTGAAGCGAATTGTTATTAGGAATGTCAAATAGGATGTAGAGAATACAATATACGCAACTGCCTAAGAAACTAAAAAGAAGAACCTGCTCAAAACAGGTGTAGAGCTGAAATTTTCCAGAAAAAGTAATGCAGCATTTTTAGCTTTTGCAGGATAACATAACGGTAATGCCTTATGTCATCAGCTGGATAAACAAAATCAAGACGACGCAAGACCTCACATAAGTTTGGTCAATTGCCAAAAGCATTTGTAGTTTAAATGGGACCCAATGCCACAATCATCATATTCTCCAGTCCTGCCATCATCGGACCATTATTTGTTCCGGCCACGAAAAAAATTTTTAGGCGGTGAAACATTTACCTCGAATCAGCTTGTCAAGAAGCATTTTGATCAGTTTTTTGCAAATAACGACCAAAAAATTTATGATCTCGGGATTATAATCCCAGAAAAATGACCCAACAACAGGTGTTGGGTCAAAACAGCCAATACATAATTTATCAAAGTAATTGTTTATTGTAGGAAAAGTACGTGCCAAATTGTCTATAAAAACGAAGTTACTTTCCGAACAACCCAATATAATACAATATACCGACATTAATTGGATTGCGCGCGATAAAATTATATTGACACCAAGCATCTAATTAATTTAATAAATTCCACAAATACTAACAAATAATGATTGTACAGAATTAAAAATTATGGCATGCACATTGACAGAACAAATGAGCAATTGTAACGAATAAATCAATTCCACCTAATTAAAAATTTACTTATGAACACAAATGATTTGAGGAATCGACTTAAATCCCGATTAATTTTATCTTAATCAATGTAAATAGTCGCATAAGTTAATCAAAGTCGTGCTTATTTCTAAGTTACATCTTACAATTAACAGTTCCGTATGTATATCAATATATTTGTTCTATAGAAATCCACATCTAGTCAAAAGACCTCGATGGAAAGATCTGCAGTAATTATTAAATCAAATATAAAACATCACAAAAGTGAATATATAGTTCCAAAAAGACTTCCTAAAGGCTACGTCTGAACTGTTACACTTAAAAAGATATTGTCCTCACAATTACATGTAAGCGATAAGGTTTAAAGATTTAAAATGAGAGCTAATAGATCTAATAGTTAAAGATACAAAGTTCAGAATTAATATCGGCTTGAAAATTCCATCATAAGGAACCTTAACAGTGTATATTTTTACCAGCTCTGTTTCTTACCTACGCAGCGGGGTGAGAAAATAGTGCTACGCCGTCTACGGATATCACATTTAAGCTACGTGCCGGAAAATGATCAAGAGCATTGTTGGACGGACAAGAACTGTCTGTATAATTTCTCAATGAATAATCTAAAATTTCGGAAAATAACAAATAATTACTCTATACGTGTGTAATCAAACCAGCCTGGACATATTAAATTCTACAAATACTAAAAACTACTGGTATACTAATTAACCCACAAAAGCAGTAACAGCCGCATATGAAAAATATAAATTTATTGTGAAAAAAACTATAATAAAGAAAATAGATGTGCATACCTATTGTTTAGCAGAAAAAATATTTTTAAAAGCCCAGACAATTTCCATAATATTAACATCTATCTAAATTCTTTATTATTTTCTTTTTTTATCACTATCGTTATTTATTATTATTATTACGATTATTTGTTGTTTATAATTTATTACCTTTCTGTTTCGCTTTTTGTTTCTTTTTTGTATATTACATCATCATATAAATAGCAAATAGTCTCTGGATGCTTCTTCTTCTAAGTTCAATTCAACAATAGCTAAATTACGAAGTTAAGTCGTTAAATAAATTAGAATGTATTTCTAAAACGAATTAATATACAATCCTCGAGCGCTAATAATAATTCTAACTAATCTCTCGTTTGCATGATAATAGTTTCAGCAATAGAACAAATAGCAAAACCCTCGAGGTATTTGTACTCTATAAAGCAAGAAGATAAAATAATAGGATAAATATAGAAATAAAAAAATATATAGAGAAAGCTCGAGATATGAGAAGTATCGTTTAGTGTAAATAAAACTAACATTGAAAAAACTTTTTATAATCCATTGATAACAAGAAAGCTCATTGGTTATACCAAAAACCGATACAGCAGCGAGCTTTCTTGAATATAATGACTATATCCTCATATTCTATATTCTGATACATGTATAATAAATGAACATTTTCTTAATAAAATTAAGCAGAATTATGAAAGTTGATTATTGTTAGCTTTTCCATGGTCATTGATTAACTTGACGATTATTGGTATGCAAATGGACACGGTATCAGTTGTAATATGCACAAACCTTACAGTTTCATATAAAATCAATCTGAGAAAAACTTGTAATTTGTGGTTTACGGCGATAAAACATTAAAAGTGCGTCGGTTCCAAATATCCCACATGTAAACAACAATTTTATAAGCGATTACACTGTCCCATAATACATGGTTTATATATCTATATCTATATCTATCTATCTATCTATCTATCTATATTTTGAGTTTTAGTTGTTTTGCATAGAAAATTTGTTGTTAACTTGATATAAAATCTTGCATGCCAGTTTTAGAGAAAATTTAAAGATAATAACTCTATAAAGAGTAGAAAATAAACACACTTATTTTGCAATATTCAATTTAAGCCCATTTTTTCCATATACTGGATCAGATGCGATGTGCACTCTAGTATTTTTTTTAAAAAAAAAAACGTTCTCTATTGGCTGAGTTAAGCGACTATTTCAACAAAAAACTGTGCAGAATGTCCTTACTTGAGAAAAAGCCGAATTTGCTTTCACCAAATCTGTTTACTTTACTTACAAACTTTTACATTCTTTAAGAAAATACTTGATTACTAAAGCTTGTAAACGTCACAACTATACAAAAGAACCTACAAAAACATTCTCTGATTATCGCAATAAAAAATAATGACGCAATTAAAAATGCTATCATTTATGATTTATGAATATCAATGCACTGATGCAGTCGACCCTAACATTCATTTCCCTTCAAGGTCTCATTCCTTTTAGAATTCGTGTTGTATCCATTATTTTGAGACCAAATGACATAGACAAATTTCGCAAAAAAAATAATAATAAAACAAAGTGAATTATGTTTATAACGGCGTCAGGGGCAATTAGTATTCGTAGCGGTCGTATAATAAAAGATAATTTTATTTTTCAGTCCGCTGGAGCCGTCGTGTTGTGGCAGAGGTCCCGTATATGTCAGAGGTTTATTGTGCAACAAGATCAACAACGATACAAAGCGACAAGGAGACAATCGAACCGACACAAGCGACGAAAGACAGTAAGAATAAGAACTCTTACTCTACTCGGACTTTTCAGATAAGTGCCAGAAATTGCGACACTTCTAGACTCAACTGGAAGGTTACAAACTTTCATCATTCTAAAGCACTAATTGTCTTTAACCAGTTAACTGTGGCGCTCAGATCGAACAGTGCGCACAGTTTCGTGCCGTCCAAATCGAGCTCATCATGACGAGTCTATTAGTCAATCAAAGAGGAAGCTGTGCTGGTAAGATATGAATGGAAATGATGGGTTAATTTTATAAAATTAACCTAGTGATGCATGGCATGGTGCAAAATTGCTGAAACCTTCCGTACTTTTTTTCTAAACTATGCCAAAATGTTCAGAAATCTTAAACGTAAAGATATATGTATAAAAATTTCCATCATCCATTTTTTTGCGATTTTTATAACTTACCCCACGGGAAGTTAATAATGTTATTACTACATTTTACTTCTATGTTAACTTAAGCATACACCTAATAACGTATTAAACTAAAAACAGAAGAAATATTATATAATATAGGAAAGTATGAATAGTTTTTAATAGTCATCATATTCAAGAAAGCACGCTGCTGCATCGGTTTTTGATATAACCAATGAGCTCTCAAAAGAAATTGTTAATTCAGTAGCTAAATTCTTATTGATTAAGTGTATTATTTCCACATTTCGTAAAGTTTTTCTTAAGTTAAAAAGCCACTTTCAACTATGAACTTATTTTATACATATCCTCAAAACATTCTAAGCAACTTGATTTTCCTGATCTCACTAAATGAAACAGATTATTAGTAGCCGTTAATTTTTTCCCGGTACTCATATGATATAAAAAGAGAACGTTGTCAAAACCATGTCATCTTGGGCATAGTGTAATCATTTGCATTATGAGTGAAGCTACTTTTGTAATTTTGAGGAAATAGACAACAAGAAATTTCGAGTACTAATAAAACAGTTTTTAAGAAGAAAAGTTCTGCTGAACCAAAAAGTAATTTGATAAGCATTATCTGGACTATGCACCAAGCGATACCATTACCATTATTAGAAAGTGGTTTGAGAAATTCCTTACTGGCCATATGAGTACTGAAGTCGAAGCATACAGTTGGACGCCCAAATGAGATGGTTACCGACAAAAACAAAAAAAATCCTCAAAACAATTTTAAATGACCGCAAAATAAGGTTGATCAATATAGCTGACACTCCAATGAAATGTGCTGGATATATCGTTCACGAATATTTGAATACGAGAAAACTCTGTGAAAAAAAGCTGTCGCGGAAGCGCACGTTTGACCAAAAACAAAATGAATTGACGATTCGGAGGGGTTTTTGGTGCTTTTAAATTTAAACAAAACCGAGTTTTTGCATCGATATGTTACAATGATTGTGGCCTGGCTTCATCACTATACTCCGGAGTCCAATAGACAGTCAGCCGAGCGGACTTGGCGCTGAACGAAGAAAAATGCAAACAAAATGCTGGCAAGGTAATGACGTTATTTTTTTGGAATTATCAAGGAATAAACCTTATAAACTATCTGCTGGCAAGGTAATGACGTTAATTTTTTGAAATTATCAAGGAATAAACCTTATAGACTATCTTGAGAAAGGCCATACCATCAATGTTGTTGGAGCGTTTGAAGGTCGAAATCGAAAAAAACGCCCGCTTTTGAAGAAGAAAAAAGTGTTGTTTCACCAGGACGATGCAGTGAATGTGAATGTGAATGTGAATGTGAAGTGATGTCACAAATCAGTGAAAACAATAGCAAAAATACATGAATTGGGTACGAATTGCTTCCTCACCCATCGTAATCTCTAAATCTGGTCCCCAACAATCATGACGCTGTAAAGAAATTTTTGTCGAATAAAGATTTGATCACCGAATTTGGCGGCAAAGAACAAAAATGATATTGAAAAGTTGGAAGTTTGCTATAATCAGTACATCGTCCTCGAAGGCAACTATATTTGATAAAAAAATGAATTTTGCCAAAAAAAAAGATTTTTTTTTTAAACGAAACGGAATCAGGCGGACTGGTAATATTGACTGTAATAACACTCCATAAAGATCAGAAATAAAACAAAACTTATAATAAAAAAAATATTAAGTAAAAAAATTAGACTAATTTAAAAATGACAATTCAAATTTAATACTGACTTTTCTTAAACTAAAAATTAGAAATATTGACCGATGTTGAAATATATGCTTACTAGAAAGAATCTTATAAGTCTTCAACGGGATTGGGCATTTTGAGAATTTTTCAATACGAAAACCATTATCAAATGTAGTAAACTTTTCTATGTATTGATAAGCGAAAAACATAGCGAAATAAAAAATATTCATTTATACGCTGCAAAATCACACATAGGTTTACTAATATGTATGCTAAAATGTGACAGATCAGATTTTTAAATGAAATAAACTTGCCGAAGTTCTAAGTACATTTTATAAAATGTGTATTTCCATATATCGCGCTTGTAGAATGATATATCCCCAATTCAATTATTTTTCGGTGCTTTATAATTGCACAAAAATATAAAATTTTGAAAAGAGTTCAAATGGCCTTTTGTATTACAATCTGTTGGTAGGCTCATGACCTGTCCTCTATCCGAGATGTAATACTCTTGCACAAAATCACATCCACACATTTTACACGCACTCATACAATATTAAGTTTAACACACGCACAAAAACCCACGTCGTTCGTTAGGATAGAACTCAGGACCACCCAGATTAAGCGCTAAGAA